CAGTGTCGTCCGTCGGGGAACGGGGCTCGTTGTTGGCCTGATGAGTTCTGCCGAGCTGGCAGCGTGCCTGGTGGTGTCTGCAATCAGGTTGCGGACTGCGGTTGCGTCTTTGGTGAGCGGAGGGATACTTTGCCTGATCCTGCTATGCTGCGTCGTGTAGTCGCAGATGGGAGCCTGGATTGAACGCTGGTGCGTTCCTCTCCTTTCCTGGCATGGCCCTTGCTGTGGTGAGAATACAATTCCTCCTGGAGGCTGTTGTACTTTCATTCGCGGAGCACTGTCTTCGCTTGCGGGGCAGGTGTACCGTAGTGGTCGCTAGCAGCGTGCTCAGTGGTGAGCAGTGAGTATGATTTTCCTGAATAGCTAGTAGCGATGGCGATTATAACAGTGGAGTGATTACTACCAAACTGGAGTAAGTGGTGCAAAGGATGCAGCGAGTTAGATACAGTGATGAGTGGAACCAACAATGAGCGGAGTGATTGAACTAAAAGGTGGAGTAAACCACCCAAAAACATCGTGAGATCCTGCAAACGCTGTGTGTGTGCAGCTTCATTCAATCCAAGATGCGTGCCTTCAAGCATGCTTTCGGTCTGGTACCGATAAATTCCTTAAAAAGAGAGCTAGAGTTCCGGATCCGCGGGGTACGGGGCGGCAGCCCTGTGCCACACGAGCGTAGCGACGTGGCGAATAACCACGGAAGTGAGATGATGAAATCATATTTTCTACTCACAGAGAGAAACCATGGCTATGCAACAACAAACACAGAGTGTGGGAGCGTGGCTGACGCCGAAGGTGGCATGGCGCGTGACCAACAGACGGACGAGGCGACGGCGAGCCAAGGGGTCGTCGTCAACGAAGTTCGTTGACCAAAGTGGATACGACAGGGAATAATTTGGCCTTTGGACGAATCAGAACGCCCATCTAGCGAGCATTTGGTGCGAGCTCTGTATGATTCACTTGTAAGATGGGCGTTGACCGTTGACAGAGTGGAGCCTGCCTCCACGACTGGCTGACCTATGAGGATGTGGCCTGCTGGCCACAATCCGTTACCTAATCGGGACAAACTGGTCAGTTTGGACCAACCTTGAAAGTACATAGGGAGGGCGGGAGCCCTCCTGGAAAGATGTTGGGGTGCGGCATTCTTTCTTCCTTTCTTTGCAGCAGCAAACAACAGCGGAGCGATAGCAGGGACGATACAAAGTAGGGGACCTTTTGTTCTTTTTCTGTACCTGGGCGGCGGAGCATTGGAAGCAGCGGAGGGACGATGGCGAGCTCTGCTGTGGGAACGAGGTATGTGAGAGTTGGTGGATCAACTCCGGGCTTTGTGCCCGTGGAGGAGTTCATGTCCGCTGGGAGCGGGTACACTGGAGGAGAGCTGGGCGACACGGGAGTGGGAGCTGTCCCGGCCTGGGAAGGCGCGGAGGAGTATGAAGAAGACCGGGAGGGTTCTGAGGCGTGGATTGTGCCGCTTGGAGTGTGGCACGCGCTGAGAGTGCGACCGAAGGAGCAGAAGGAGGACATGGCGGAGCGTCTTTTGTCACAGGTGTGTGTGGTGCTGGAGGCAGCTGATGGTTCTCTTTCCCTGGCACGCGTGGAGCAGATGCTGTGGTCTGTACTGGCGCGATGGGCGCGGCAGTTGGATCTGGACTTGGTGTCCGTGGATCTACCTATGGGAGGTATGGAGCAGTCGGGGACGTTGACGAAGCCGGAGCTGATATTGTCGTATGTGGATGTGCGCAGCATATCTTCCAACAACTGGAGGACAGTGATGAGCCAGGGCAGGCTTGGCACTGTATGTGTGAGGATCTTGCTGGGGAGCCGGAGGAGGAGCGCTGTGCTGGCCGTGTCTGGCAGCTGGTTCGGACCCACTGTAACCGGTATGGCATGGAGGCATGCGGTGCTTCGGGACAGAGCATTCTTTCTTCTATGGAGGAGAAGAGAGGCTTCCTTGTCTGGGGCCCAGCCGACGCTGTCGGGTTCGGATTCTTCATGGGCGCCATTGCTTTTCGCTTGCTAGCCGAGGCTCTCGAGGAGCCGGAGCTGGAAGTCATTTGTGGTGCTTGGCTAAACTTTTGCAGCAAGCATTGTTGCGGTGCTTATGACTGAGCGGCGCGGTGGACAGGTGAGGTGCCTGGGTGCACTTGTGCGCGGGATGTCGGCTGTGCTGACCGATGGCCTAGTGGACCTGTCGGAGACTGGTCGTGGTGAGCATGAGCTATCACGGGATAGTAGAATTCACGTCAGGTTGGAGGCGAGTTGTACGAGCCGTGCGACTTGGTCGATCTATGAAACGATGGAATGAAATGAATGAAATGACTAGTGGAACCAACAATGAACGAAGTGAATGACATGAAGTGAGAAGTGGAACAAAACACCAAGAAAGATCGTGAGATGCAACAAACACTGGGGAAGTGTGGCTTCAAAACTAGAAGATGCATGTCCTAAAACATGCTTTTATTACTTAATCCGCATGCTGTCAGAAAAGATGGCTAGAGTTCCGGATCGGCGGGGTACGGGGCGGCAGCCCTGTGCAGCTCGAGCGTAGCGACGCTGCTTAATACACGAGAGTGAATGATGAAATCATATTTTCTACTCACAGAGAGAAACCATGGCTATGCAACAACAAACACAGAGTGTGGGAGCGTGGCTGACGCCGAAGGTGGCATGGCGCGTGACCAACAGACGGACGAGGCGACGGCGAGCCAAGGGGTCGTCGTCAACGAAGTTCGTTGACCAAAGTGGATACGACAGGGAATAATTTGGCCTTTGGACGAATCAGAACGCCCATCTAGCGAGCATTTGGTGCGAGCTCTGTATGATTCACTTGTAAGATGGGCGTTGACCGTTGACGCGGGTGGGTCCTGACCCTACCGCTTACCTAATAGACTGGGAGCCGAAGGGCGAACAGTCGTACTATTGAAGGGACGGTGGCTGTGGCCACTGGAACCCGGACTTGGCTAGCGCGAAACGCGGAGAGTGGGTCGGAGACCATGTGCCGGGGGCTGATTGGCCCGAGGGGAGGCGATGGGCGGGGCCTGGAGGGTATAAGGGTAGGGGCTGCCCTTTTGTTGGAGGAAACAAAGGTTGTCTTTGTTCCTCTCTCTTTCTTCGATCTTGTGTGCGCTGCGGAGCTGGCGATACGATGGGTGACGGGGAGTCATCTGCCAGTGGTGCTGAGGTCGCCCGGAGGCGCGATTTGTTCTGGATGTTCGGCGTGACGGAGCCGAGACGGTTTCTCGACATGCTGCGGAAGCAGAACGCGGTGGTAACCGGGACGGCCCTTCTTGGGGCTGTCGGTATGTCATGGAAGACGAAGTGGCAGTTGGCCACGGGTGCGTTCTCGTTGGACGTGCTATGCCCGCCTGGGGCGGCGCAGTCGGAGGTGATGCAGTATCTGCTGCGTTGTGGCTATGCTGTGAGCGGGGGATCCTGTCGACACACGCTGGGAGAGTGGACGGGACTCCCGGAGGGGTCTGTCGCGTGTTTGACGCGCGGAGAGCATGGGCTCTTGTCGGTGGTCCACGTTGTGCGGCTGAAGATGCGGGTGCAGGAGGTGATTACCAGCCGGGTGTATGGTACCATGGTGGGTACGTATTTGACCGGGCGAGGAGTGGTCTTCTCGCTTTTCCCCCATATCACGTTTGCGCAGCGAGGCTACTGGGTGGCCGATGACATGCGTCCGGACAGTAAGCAGTCAATGCGTGTGAAGTATTCCGGGTGGTCGGAGATTGACGAGGGGGGACCCGAGGTTTGTTCTGTTCGCCATCCGGGTGATCGGCAGAGTTTGCTTTTGCATCTGGGCGAAAAGGGTCTCAGTGTGAGGCAGGAGCCGCAAGAGTACAGGTAGGCACGGATGTGCAGTGGTCGTCGTATCGTGCTAACTATTGTTTCCTGAGGATCAGGTGTCCGCTCGGCAAGGAAGTGCCCGTGGGTTTTTCCCGAAGCGCTTTGGACTACGGAAAGACTTTTCCTAGTATGAGGGCTGCTGCGAACGTGGGTGCGAAGCAGTATGACTCTTCGACGTGGGCAGAGGAGAACAGGACGAGGATCCGTGTGCCCAAGCGGGGCAAAGGCAAGAAGGCTATGAGTAGGCAGTCAGAGTTATAGTACATGCATGTGGAGGAATGGAGATCGTGTATGGGGAGCATGTGTCCAGTATAATAAGAAACGGAGTGATGGAATAACCAGTGGAACAATCAGAAGAATGGAGTGATTGCATGAAATGAAATGTAATGTGTGCAGTGAAACAAACACCAGAAAAGATCGTGAGATGTGTGCAGAAGCGTAGTGGTGCAGCTTCATTCAATCCAAGATGCGTGCCTTCAAGCATGCTTTCGGTCTGGTACCGATAAATTCCTTAAAAAGAGGTACTTCTTTTCCGGAACCGCGGGGTACGGGGCGGCAGCCCTGTGCCACACGAGCGTAGCGACGTGGCGAATAACCACGGAAGTGAGATGATGAAATCATATTTTCTACTCACAGAGAGAAACCATGGCTATGCAACAACAAACACAGAGTGTGGGAGCGTGGCTGACGCCGAAGGTGGCATGGCGCGTGACCAACAGACGGACGAGGCGACGGCGAGCCAAGGGGTCGTCGTCAACGAAGTTCGTTGACCAAAGTGGATACGACAGGGAATAATTTGGCCTTTGGACGAATCAGAACGCCCATCTAGCGAGCATTTGGTGCGAGCTCTGTATGATTCACTTGTAAGATGGGCGTTGACCGTTGACGCGGGTGGGTCCTGACCCTACCGCTTACCTAATAGACTGGGAGCCGAAGGGCGAACAGTCGTACTATTGAAGGGGACGGTGGCTGTGGCCACTGGAACCCGGACTTGGCTAGCGCGAAACGCGGAGAGTGGGTCGGAGACCATGTGCCGGGGGCTGATTGGCCCGAGGGGGCCGATGCAGGGTGCGGAGCTTGCTCTGGGGGACAAAGAGCAGTTTTTGGACGATGGGTCGTTTGCTGCGGCGGTGATGCGGCAGGGTTATCTTCCCCCTTGCTCGTGTGACGAGTGTGACGAGGAGATTAAGCGCGTTGATGAGCGCAGCGGTTGGTTACCGCGTGGCTGGATACTGGGAACTGCTGGGGCAGGACCAACAACACTAGGATGTTGGTTGTGGTCGGAGGCCTGACCTTAGCCGGGGGCTTGTATAAGAATTGGATGGCACTTGTGGTGCTTGGGAGGATGTCCCTGGGACGAAAGTTCCTTTTGTTCACGACACGATCAGCGATGGTGTCTCCTGAGCGACTTCGCGATGCGCCTTTGCGCCTTTTCCGTTCTTTCCACCCGAACATATTCATGTTCCTGCGTGAGGCAGGTATCTATGATCCGGAGGGGTTTCTTGGCCTGCTCCGACGGACAGGAGCGGTGGTGACAGGATGGGTGCCGACACTTGTCCTGGCTAGGGGCGTCTTCCCGGAGGCACACGACGAGCCGGATTTGGAGGATGGGACGACGATCTTGGTGCATCAGGACCACTTGGCGACAATACAGCGTTTCTTTGTGGAGAACGCTTCGCGATATTGCGGTCCGCGGGTGGAGGACCTTTGTTGTACGACTGGGTCGGCTGGATCGGGGCCTGGGCCCCTCATGAGTGTGATCGTTCCGGTGTCGGACGAGGAGGTCAGGGAGTCTCGGTGTCGGAGCTTGCAGGATCTGGCGATGCAGCTGTGTGCGCACACGGCCGAGGCCGTTTTTCTGTCAGGGACGGGATTGTTCTGTCCTTTTCCCTACTCGGCGCTGTATCACCACCGGGGGGTGAACATGTTCTCGTTGAGTCTTAGGCAGGAGCGCGCGAACGTGAGCCGGCTCTTCTTTGAGAGGCGTGGATATGTCATTGGCAATGATGCGTGGGAGCTGGACTTGGATCACTTGTCAGAGTTGGGGGATCGGAGAGCGCCTATGGATGGCTTCAGCCTTTTTGCTACGTGGAGTCCGGATGGTTACTTGTGGACTGGTGGGACGGCTGAGGCAGAGGCTGCCAGGTTCTGGAACACAATTCGATTGGGTGGTGCGCAACTAGACCGGGCGGTCCAGGTGGTGGAGAGTCCGAAGGAGTAGTCACTGTGGTGCAGTTCAATTCAATCAGAGTGGAGCTGTGTCTTGTGTGGAGCACAACACCAAAAAGGATCGTGAGATCTGCTAAACCCTAACAAAGTGGAGCTTCATTCAATCCAAGATGCGTGCCTTCAAGCATGCTTTCGGTCTGGTACCGATAAATTCCTTAAAAAGAGAGCTAGAGTTCCGGATCGGCGGGGTACGGGGCGGCAGCCCTGTGCAGCTCGAGCGTAGCGACGCTGCTTAATACACGAGAGTGAATGATGAAATCATATTGTCTACTACTAGAGAGACATAATGGATATGCAACAACAAACACAGAGTGTGGGAGCGTGGCTGACGCCGAAGGTGGCATGGCGCGTGACCAACAGACGGACGAGGCGACGGCGAGCCAAGGGGTCGTCGTCAACGAAGTTCGTTGACCAAAGTGGATACGACAGGGAATATTTCGTCGATTGGACGAATCACAGCCCATCTTCGCGACCATTTGTATGGGCGCTCTGTATGATTCACTTGTAAGATGGGCGTTGACCGTTGACGAGAGTGGAGCCTGCTCCACGAGAGTTTGACCTATGAGAACGGGGCCTGGTGGCCCAGTTCGACTACCCTTTAGGGCCTAGCGCTGTGGCGCTGGCCCCACATTCGAAGATACAAAGATGGGCTTGGGCCCATCTCGGGGAGATGAACTGGCAGGACATTCTTCCCTCCTTCATTTCATTTTCGGAGAAAGGCGAGGGACGATCACGGCGGAGCGACAACAGGAGAGGATCGGTTGTTTCGAAATTTCGTATTTCTTTTTCCTTTGTTCTTGTGGCCAAGAACCAAGCCTTGGGATGCACTGGCGTGCATCAACAGGAAGCGCAATGGGTATGGAGCACCCCGTGCACGGGGTAGAGATAGGCGAGGGGGGTCGAGCCGTTGGACTGGACCTATGCTGCGCAGAGGGTGTGGTGAGGCCGGGACGATCCTTGGTACTACGAGAGGGGGAGTGGTGCAACGGGCACTTGGTGCCCAGTCTGTTACGGAGTGGGGATGTGTATTTCCCCGTGTTCGACAGGACAGTTGTCTTGTCGTTTGCTACGCGACGGCAGGAGTTGTCGCCGGGGCGTGATATCCTGGAGGAGATGATCCAGAGGATACGTCAGGTGGGTCATGATGGAGTGACGCAGGTCTTCTGCTTGTCCGGGGCGGACTTGGTGCGGGAGCTGTGTGTGTGGGCGCGTGCCGCCCAGTTGCCCCTGGGGGTGAAGAGGTATGAGATCGCGACTAGCCAGGGTGTGCTGGCTGTGCCTGTCCCGTATGAGGGCTTGGTGCCTCTGGCGAGGCTGATGTACGGGCTCGTGGAGAGCCCGCGGAGACACGAGATGAGTTCCTTGGAGAGGGGAGTCGTTAGGAGGATGATGAGCGCGGGGGGGAGTTGCGCGGTTTGTATGCGGTGTGCATGGTACCATGCGGACCTGTTCTTTCTCTTCCACCTACTGGAGGTGCATCTGATGCCGGGTCACTGGCACTTGGTGAACTTGGTGTTCTGTGCGGAGGCCACCAGAAGGGTTGCGGTGGCGCTTGGGTCTTCCACTCTGGAGTGGTGGGCCGTCTGGCTGTTGACGCTGTTGGACCGCGTTGCGTATTGTCTGGACCATGGCCTGGCCAGGATGGAGGGCGGTGCTGACACGGTGTGGCAGGTGCAGAGGTTAGATGGGCGTAGTTGGAACAGCCCTTTGTAGTATGCTGTCAGTGATTGTACACTTGGTCGGAGGATCGTGAGCATGTACGGAGCAATCTGTGGAACTGTCCGATGCCCTTCGGGGCTCTCTGGTGATTCATAATAACTTCTCGAACTAGGATGACGAGACATGAAATGAGCATGTGCAACAATCAGAAGAATGGAGTGATTGATGGAGTGATGTGGTGTGGAACAATGTGCAGCGGAGCCAACCTCCAAAGAGTATCGTGAGATCTGTAAAACAGTACTAGGGTACAGCCTCACTTGTGCAAAGATGCGTGCCCTAGAGCATGCCTTTATTACTTTGACTGCATGCTGTCAAAAAGAGGTACTTCTATTCCGGAAAGAAGGGGGTTACAGGGGGAAGCCCCCTGTGCCGTGGTCCGCAGGACCCTGGCGCTCACCTCGAAGAGCAATGATGAAATCATATTGTTACTACTAGTAGAAACACCATGGCTATGCAACAACAAACACAGAGTGTGGGAGCGTGGCTGACGCCGAAGGTGGCATGGCGCGTGACCAACAGACGGACGAGGCGACGGCGAGCCAAGGGGTCGTCGTCAACGAAGTTCGTTGACCAAAGTGGATACGACAGGGAATATTTCGCGATTTGAGCGAATCAGAACGCCCATCTAGCGAGCATTTGGTGCGAGCTCTGTATGATTCACTTGTAAGATGGGCGTTGACCGTTGACAGAGTGGGTCCTTGGACCCCGACTGGCTGACCTATAGGAACGGGGCCTGGTGGCCCAGTTCCGTTACCGAAAAGGGATGAAAGTGGGCACACTTTCTCCCACATGGAAAGTACAAAGGAAGGGTGTGCACCCTTCCCAAGAGAAGGCAAAGGATTTCATTTCTCTTCCTCTTTTTCCTCGGAGAGAAACAACAGCAGGGCGGCAGACAGGATGAACAAGACGGGGGCGTCGGTGCGGTCCGGAGGATTTGGAGGACCAGTGAAAGGTCCTCTCCCGCGAGGGATGATGTCCTCGAAGCCTGTCGGTCCTGGCTTTGGTAAGAGCCAGGTGATGAAGCAGGATGGCTTACTGTCGGCGCCTGTGGGCGCTGGTGTGGTGCAGAAACCGGAGGTGGGAGCCTTGACCCCTACGGGGCAAGCAGAGACAGTGGCGGAGGCTGTAGACACGTCTGGCCCGGGAGGGCCTGTTCCGCCTGCGGGCGGAGTTTCTTGTTCTGTTCCGGAGGAGGCAAGCAAGGCAGTCGAGGGGACGGACGAGAGGAAAGATTTGGGGGCTGGAAGACCCGAGGAAGGCAGGTGTTCGGCCTGTCAGGAGATGTCGACTTCCCTGCGGGACGTGGGGCGTGGAGTGATGAGTATTGGAGAGAGAGTAGGGACGCTGCAGGAGGCAGTGGGTGCCCTTGACCAGGAGCAGAAGAGCCAGGGGATGTTGCTCGGAAGGTCCAGGCTGCGCAGAGCCAGCTGGGTGGTGAGCCGGCGTGGGTCGACGGCGTCATGAGTGCATTGCATGGTGTGCTGGAGGCGGTGCGAGAGTTGACGGAGGAGCAGAAGAAGGGAGCGTCTTGCGGGGCTCGGATAGAGCAGATGGTGCAGGTCCGGGAGGACATGGAGACTCGACATGAACAGCAGGTCGTTTGCCTCGAGGAGAAGCTTGCGGGGGTGCAAGCGGAGTTAGCGTCCTTCGTGCAGAAGGAGGAAGACCGGCAGCGACAGCGTGAGGAGAGACATCGTCGCAGGCGTGACGAGCAGCGGGGCGGAAAGGAGGATGGGAAGCGCGGTCATGGTGCTTCCCGGTCGCAGAAGCTTGGGCTGTCTTGGGCCAAGGCTCACTAACCCTTGGGTAGGGTTTGCCATTGCGGATGACAACATGGTGGAGTGGTTGTCTGGTCCGTCTTGCGTGTGCAGCATTGTCGGCAGTGTGACGTTTTCTGTGCGCCGGTGGCGATAATCAGGAGGTAGAACTGTGGTGAATGAAATGAACAAGTAACTAGAGCTACATGAAACCAGATGGAATGAGTGATGAGATGAGTGATGAACAGTAGACGAAGTGCATTGTGGAACAAGTAAGTGAACGAAGTGATGCAATGAAATGAATGTGTTGGGGTAGAACAAAACACCAAAAAGTATCGTGAGATTACATAAACACTAAGAGTGGGGGGCTTCACTTTGCCCCAACAAGATGCGTGCGTTAAAGCATGCTTTTAGTCTGGTACCGAATGCTGTCAGAAAAGATGGCTAGAGTTCCGGATCGGCGGGGTACGGGCGGCAGCCCTGTGCAGCTCGAGCGTAGCGACGCTGCTTAATACACGAGAGTGAATGATGAAATCATATTTTCTACTCACAGAGAGAAACCATGGCTATGCAACAACAAACACAGAGTGTGGGAGCGTGGCTGACGCCGAAGGTGGCATGGCGCGTGACCAACAGACGGACGAGGCGACGGCGAGCCAAGGGGTCGTCGTCAACGAAGTTCGTTGACCAAAGTGGATACGACAGGGAATAATTTGGCCTTTGGACGAATCAGAACGCCCATCTAGCGAGCATTTGGTGCGAGCTCTGTATGATTCACTTGTAAGATGGGCGTTGACCGTTGACGCGGGTGGGTCCCTGGACCCTACCGCTCCACCTATCAGAAACGGGGCTGGTGGCCCAGTTTCGTTACCTAATCGGGAGTCCAGTGGGCACACTGGCTCCCACGTGGAACTACAAAGGGGGGCTCGAGCCCCCCTACAAGCAGGGCAAAGGATTTCTCTCTTGTCTTTCTCTTTTCTCGGGACGAAAAACAGCAAGCGGAGCGGCAGGCAGGATGGAGGTGCAGGAGGAGTGCGCCGTGGTTTTGCCGGAGGGGCACGAGGTGGTCGTGCAGACGTACGAGGAAGACGAGGTTCCTGATCCAGCTCAGGATGAGTGGGCGGACATTCGACCGAACGATCGGGATGGAGAGAAGGTGTTTATACTTCGGACGAAGTATTTTATGCTGACGTACAGCAAGAGTCAGATCATGGATGTGTCTGAGTTTGAGAAGCGTTTTCGCGAAACACTCCGGAGGTGTTACACCAGCAAGCCTGATGCGCAGCTGGAAGACTTTGGGGTACAGTATTTCGGCTCTAGGGAGCTGCACGCCAGCGGGCGTCCCCATTACCATGTTGTGGTAGCTTTAGGTAAGCCCCCTCACTGGAGGGATCCTTGGGAGAAGTTGCGGCTGTTGGCCATGACAGAGGATGGCCTTGGACCAGACACTCGGTCTGTCCGTCTTAGCGTGATGCGCAAGGAGCAGAACTTGGAGTTCTTCCTGAACAAGACCCAGGCGTACGTGAGGAAGGAGTCGTGGGACTTCGTTTTCGGTCGGGAGATCGAGGCTGTGGGTGACAGGGCGGTAGCCAAGAGGAAGCGCGAAGAGCTGTGCATAGCTGCCATCAAAGCCGAGACGGCTGAGGAGGTGCACGAGATCCTGGCGGAGGGGGATCCGGTGAACTATGTCTGGAGACACACGCAGGCGTGCGCGCTTGCCAACAGGAAGAGGCGACGATTTCTGCCCCCGGTTGGACCGGTCTTTCACTTTGACCCCGTCTACATTCCGCAGGCCATGCTGGAGTGGAAGGCGAAATGGATTGACCAGCCTTACGGTGCGGCGGAGAGGCCCCAAGCCTTGGTCCTGACAGGGCCCACTAGGACTGGCAAGACCGCATGGGCGGAGTCCTTTGGTAATCCCCTCATTGTGAACACTAACTTTCGTCTAGACGATTGGCGGGAAGACTGCACGCACATTGTGCTCAATGACGTAGTCCTGGCGGATTTCAAGTACACGCGCGAGATGCTTGGCTGTCAGCGGTGGTTTAACGGGACGGATAAGTTCAAACCTACTGTTCGTCTGGCATTGGGCAAGCCAGTTATTTGGACCTGCAATGAGGATAACAATCCCTTGCGCAAGAAGGTCTGGCGTAAGTATGCGGAGGATTCGGTGGTGCAAGTAAAGGTTACGTGTAGTTTATTTAAAAAGGCAATGAAATGAGGATGTCTTGTGGTCTGGTACCACATGAACTTAGAAGATGTGTGCAGCTGAAGAATGCTTTCGGTCTGGTACCGCAAACAATGTTAAAAAGAGGTACTTCCTTTCCGGAACCGCGGGGTACGGGGCGGCAGCCCTGTGCCACTAGCTGCGCAGCAGCCGTGGCGAATAACTCGAAGAGACATGAAGAATGAATGCTGTTACTACTAGTAGAACATATGGCTATAACAACAACAACGCTGGAAGCTGGGAGCGTGGCTGACGCCGAAGGTGGCATGGCGCGTGACCAACAGACGGACGAGGCGACGGCGAGCCAAGGGGTCGTCGTCAACGAAGTTCGTTGACCAAAGTGGATACGACAGGGAATATTTCGCGATTTGAGCGAATCAGAACGCCCATCTAGCGAGCATTTGGTGCGAGCTCTGTATGATTCACTTGTAAGATGGGCGTTGACCGTTGACGAGAGTGGAGCCTGCTCCACGAGAGTTTGACCTATGAGAACGGGGCCTGGTGGCCCAGTTCGACTACTGTTTTGGGATGAAAGTGGGCCACTTTCTCCCGACTTTCGAAGATACATAGGGAGGGCTGTGCCCTCCTGGAGAATGGCAAAGGATTTCCACTTCTCTCCTCCTTTTCCTCGGAGAGGAGCAGCAGCGCGACAAGACGGGACGGACGACAGCACGGAGGCTGTCTTACCTTGGATGTCCTTGGGAGATTTTCTTCTTATGTTCTTGTGGCCAAGAACCAAGCCTACTGATGCACTGCGTGCAGCTACACGGACCGGGGAGGGACGAGAGATACTACGAAGATGTGCAGTGCAGAGCCGGAGGAGTCTAGTATGCCGGAGGAGGAGAGGACATGGAAGGTTGGCCTCTTATTTGCCCTTGGGGAGGGCGCACGTGGGAGACTTGCGCTGATGGCAGAGGATGCTGTGCTTCGGAGAGAGGCAGTGGATGAACTTGTTCGTCATTGCTTGTTTATCCCACCTCCCCCGTTGGAGGGGGAAGATCAGGCGGAGGACCTGGTAGGCGCTATGGGTAGCGGCTTTGGTGCAGCTTTGCTCTCGTGGGGTGAGAAGTACGGAGTTGAGATACACGATGGGGATCCGGCGTGCATGGAAGAGGAGCGGTGCGACGGTCACTTTTCGCGGCAGGAGGTGTTTGCACTGGGTATAACACTGCATGGAATGGCGACGCGCTGGAGGTACACGGCTTCCTGGATGGATGAGATGATGTCGCGCTGCCTTCGGATGAAGAGGTGTGAGGCGTGTTGGGCTTCCCTGGGACGGGTAGGTTCACGTAATGTGCTTGCTCCCGAGGTTGCACACATGGTGCGTGTGCACGCTTCCGATCGAGAGAGAGGTATGGTTCGCTGGGCGTCTATGTTGCTGGTCTTGTGCGCTGCTGCGCGTGTCCTGGGGGACGAGAGATTGTATCAGATGGCGGATCGGGCATTCCGCGGGTACTTCCCCTCGGAGGGAGCTCCTCAGTGGGGTTGCTGGTGACCATACGTGGGCGTCGTCCCGGTGGGACTTGAAAACTGGTAGCAGAGCTGGCTTTCTGTGTTCTACACACTGGAGTTTGCTCCTGGGCTTTCCTCTTCACCGTGCCCGTGGCGTGAGGAGGGCTTTTGTTGCAGGTGGCAGCAGAGTTTGGACAACAGGGCTTGTAGTCCGGTGTCCTCGTGTAGGAGCCATGTGGCGATAGAGCAGTTGATGCAGTGATGATAGCTAGACTTATCAGCAGAAGATCAGGGTGATTACTAGATGAACAGAGTGAAGTGTGGAACAACCAGCAATGGAATGCAATGAAATGAAATGTAGAGTCGTGTGTTAGAGTAGAACAAAACACCAGAAAGTATCACGAGATGTGCTAAACACTACTTTGGAGTAGCTTCAAAAACCACCAAGATGCATGTCGCTAAAGACTGCTGACATTACTTAATCCGCATGCTGTCGGAAAAGAGAGCTAAGATTCCGGAACCGCGGGGTACGGGGCGGCAGCCCTGTGCAGCTCGAGCGTAGCGACGCTGCTTAATACACGGAAGTGAAATGATGAAATCATATTGTCTACTACTAGAGAGACATAATGGCTATGCAACAACAACGCTGGAAGCTGGGAGCGTGGCTGACGCCGAAGGTGGCATGGCGCGTGACCAACAGACGGACGAGGCGACGGCGAGCCAAGGGGTCGTCGTCAACGAAGTTCGTTGACCAAAGTGGATACGACAGGGAATAATTTGGCCTTTGGACGAATCAGAACGCCCATCTAGCGAGCATTTGGTGCGAGCTCTGTATGATTCACTTGTAAGATGGGCGTTGACCGTTGACGAGAGTGGAGCCTGCTCCACGAGAGTTTGACCTATGAGAACGGGGCCTGGTGGCCCAGTTCGACTACTGTTTTGGGATGAAAGTGGGCCACTTTCTCCCGACTTTCGAAGATACATAGGGAGGGCTGTGCCCTCCTGGAGAATGGCAAAGGATTTCCACTTCTCTCCTCCTTTTCCTCGGAGAGGAGCAGCAGCGCGACAAGACGGGACGGACGACAGCACGGAGGCTGTCTTACCTTGGATGTCCTTGGGAGATTTTCTTCTTATGTTCTTGTGGCCAAGAACCAAGCCTACTGATGCACTGCGTGCAGCTACACGGACCGGGGAGGGACGAGAGATACTACGAAGATGTGCAGTGCAGAGCCGGAGGAGTCTAGTATGCCGGAGGAGGAGAGGACATGGAAGGTTGGCCTCTTATTTGCCCTTGGGGAGGGCGCACGTGGGAGACTTGCGCTGATGGCAGAGGATGCTGTGCTTCGGAGAGAGGCAGTGGATGAACTTGTTCGTCATTGCTTGTTTATCCCACCTCCCCCGTTGGAGGGGGAAGATCAGGCGGAGGACCTGGTAGGCGCTATGGGTAGCGGCTTTGGTGCAGCTTTGCTCTCGTGGGGTGAGAAGTACGGAGTTGAGATACACGATGGGGATCCGGCGTGCATGGAAGAGGAGCGGTGCGACGGTCA